CTCACACTCCTTACTCCTAAAGAGAAAAAAAAACGAACCATAATTCCCGACTGCCACTTCCCGAAGATTCTCGATGGTAGCTAACTACCAAAGGAAATCTACATCCAGTAATTTCCAAGAGGATCCCATAATAAGTTCCATTTTTTTCATTTCTTTTTAATTACTACATTCCAGCAGGAATTTACCGGCAGTCATGAAAATGCAGTTACAACAACCTTAAGCAAGGGAAGTAATAACAGCCAGTAGAAATTCTTACCAATAGAAATTCTTTAACCGAGAAACTCACCTAGTTTAAACCCTTCGGGCATTTCCGTCCAACTTCGTCCATCTTCGTCCCCTGTCGACAATCTATCCGTAACGTCCTCCTTTATGTCGAAAAAATCCCCCGCGTCTCCCGATGTATCGCGCTGTTTGATGGCCAGGCTACGGCACTCGAAATCCAGGATTTTGTCAACGCCCAATACTTTTACGAGGTTGGCAGCGCCGCTGGAGCGACGTGGTATCACTGCTGTTCTCCATGATGGATGCTTTTTACGATGGCATAAACCGGGGTAGCCTATGCATTTAGAGACAGTCGAACGGTTCCGTCGGACGCCGTAACCGAAAACCAAACCCCGTTGGTAGTCCTCATCATCCCCCGATTCTCTTTTTTTTTTACCCTATCTCTGACAACACTCACACTCTTCGGCCTCCCAGTCCCCACCCCGCTCTCTCTCTCTCTCTCTCTCTCTCTCTCTCTCTTTCAAAGCGTTAAACCGTGCGCACAAACGTCCAAAGGGAAATGGTGTATTGATTGTCGAAACCCATGAATTTCGTAGAGGTGAAAACATCGCTTACCAAAACGAGAATCATCAACCCTTTCGAATCGATCATCCATATCAATCATCCACCAAGCGGAGAAAGTACTTTGTGTTTTCGTCGGTTCGATTTATTAAAAAAAAAAAAAAATATATACTTTTGTATCACAGGTATTGTCAACCATCTCATCTTGTCTGTCTATTGACATCCATTCGGTTTTTCGATCTGTCTGTCACTTTGTAATCAGTTCCGAATAAATGAGTTTATTCAATCGATATTTACTTGATCGAATAATATACGCCCTTCTTTACATTACATTTTTCGTTGTCGATCAATCACATCACTCTGGATCATTTCGTGTAAGACTGCATGTATTCCTTCATGGATTCTAAGCTAGCTTCGGCGTCAAAATCCCTAGGGATATTACAGATAGTCATAAAGGCTTGTATTCAATTGTGAATTCTGTATCGGTTGTATATGATTGAAGCCAATTTACTAACAAGTAATAGTCCCGTATGCGTTTGTGCTTTGGTCTGACGTAGAAAAGGTGAAAGGCCAAAGCGGCAGCAACGCTGCATACGGAAGCGGCGATAATGTTCCTTCTTGTCTGGGCGACGAGCAATCCTCTCAGTCGCGGCGCCGCGTCGCACATCTTGTCGGTGAAATTGCAAAGGCGTGGTAATGAAATGTTTCCCTGGGGTCACGAGAAAGTTCGAGGATATTCTGGAAGTCAGTGACAATATCAATATCGAGGATACGAAAGTACGGAAAGTTCTTTGGTTACCACGGGAAGAAGGAAACAAAAAAGACGAGAAAAATTATCATGGAAATCGTCAAACCCTGATAGTCAATTATTCGTGTTCGTTTTACCGGCACTCGTGTGATACATCGGATTGATCAATGTTGTTGATATGAAAGAGTAAAAAAAATGACGTTCGATTTAACCGATATTATAGTACATTGAGTAAAAGTTGAGGTCCATAGAAGGGACAAGCTGTTAGATTTTAGACATAAAGAATGAATAATTTCAAAAGATTTTTCAAAAAATTTAATAATTATTGGAAAATTTCTGGTGCGTGTCGATAAAGGGGAAATATCTAGGTCGTCAGGCTGGTTCATGGATATACAATAATTTAACTCTGCAAACAATATGAAATCAACTGTAATCAAGCGTTCATTGCCAACAACCATCAAACGCTGTTTCATTTTATTACCGTTCGATTTTATTAAACGTTTTACGATCGAGTGTATCGTTTCCAGAACAAAATAGAACACAGAATAGCGAATCGTACTGGACCGTAACAGCATCCAATACAGTTCTCCAGTTGCCATGGATACATGTACGTCGAGATACCTCTAGTTCGAATAACTAAGGCACAGTTATCCTTGTGGTTCTAATTCCGCTTTTAATTCTATTTCGAATTCTGGTGTTCTGCATACCGATTTTAACGCACTTCTAAAACTATGTATAACCAGATATAGCGTACGCAATATCAGTGAAAGAATGCTTAAAAGAGTCAAGTTGTAAAAATATTCATAAAAATATCTGTCAATTAAATTCATAATTGCGTTTAACTAATTAGTTCAATGAATCGTCAAATATTCATCAAGCTTAAAACCTGAATGACGATAGGTATGAATCAACAGGGGTGTGATACTTTTAGGTTCGGTACTTGCATAGGTTGGAATACGAGCTTATGACCCAGATAACCAAGGGATGTGGGCACGTGTCCCAATCGGCCTGATATAAAGGGCTGCCAGTCGGTAGCTGGTTTCCCAGTTGCCGGTTATGATGCCCACCGAACGCAAACTGCACTTGCTTTAACTCCACAACGGAAACCGCCGCGGAATACCAAATTCAGGTTGCAGCTCGATACTGGTACTGGCGAACTGCAGAAATCCGAGAGATCCGGAAAATCCAGGTGATCCTGTAGATCCAACCTGTACAGTCACCCTTGGGAATCCATGCAGTTCGAAATTCTTCCTGCACTGTAAGAAAGTTGGTATCGGTACTTCGGTACCGTTTTATGCCTTCCTTACTGCCGGAGTCATAGTAGGTTCTAGTTTCAGCGATTCGCACCTGTTACCCAGCAAAGCTGTGATACACGTGTGCGATGTGTATACGTTTCAGGGCTGTGTATATTTATCTTTCTAGGTAAAAAGCACGTTATTGCTGAAATCGCAGGCTTTTACCTCGATCGTAAAATCTAATATACGATATTGTGATAACCCGTTTTTCGAATCGTAGCAATAGAAACATGACTGTGAATTTTTGTTGGACTATTTTTGATTCTATTCTAAAATCAACAGAGTTCATCAACCATGGACCGTGTACAGTATATGCATGTTATCTGAAAAAAAAAAGTATCTCAAGGTATACCCTAATTGACTTTTCTCTACATATAGAAATACTTGTCCTACAAAAAATGAAAAAAAAAATTTGACCAATTGGATAACCTTTGTATGAACTGCTCAAGGGAATATTCAAACATTAATGAAGTAAACTAATTTGGGATAGTATCTATCGAACCGACCCTACTGCATCCTTTATCCCCAGAGGGGTTTTCGTCTTTAAAGGTTTATCAGATACGAATCGGGTGTGGTCCGTTTCAGATTCCTTGGTCGGTCCAGCGATCGTTCATGGTAAATGAGATAAAATAATTATTTATGTAATTGGAATCTTTTGCTTATAAATGATTAAAGATACTTCGAGCATCGTCAAATTAGATTAAAAAATTATTCAGATATTTATATTAGCATGCTATACCTATAGATACGAACTTTAGGAAAATAATATGTACTGAGGAAGATGAGATTTTTTTGTCATCGTAACAATAGTCCCATTCTGTCTATATAACTTTTCAGGCTTCTTTGGCGTTTTTCTCGAAAATTCACGTAGCTCCTATTGAACCCTGTCAAACAATGAGAGCCGGGAACCTCTCCGCAATGATACGGATTCCGCGTCGGCGAATGTTCTCAATTCCAATATGTATAATATTGGCAATTGATAAAAGCAGACGAGTCCAAGAAAATGGGATTTAAGAGTGCAATGTATAATTCGTGAATATCAGATACTATAGGAGAGAGGCTAATTGGTAAGTGGCTCTCATAATGGTACTTCGATAAATTACCTTTTGTCTATGGAATCACTAGCTTTCCGATAGCCTGAGCCCACGAGTGCAAGAGAGGAGAGAACTCTTTGTCCAAATTTCAGTCAATTCCGGTTCCATACTATCGATCGTTCCTTGAACGGCCTTCCCACTGATTGCATGGAGAGCGATTAAAATTACCATAAAAAAAAAAGACGAGGATTTTCCTGTCCAGAGACAGAATTCGAATGAAGTAGAAAATGTAACAATACAGTTTCATAATTATTGCCACTACGTACATTTCTTAAAATTTTCTACTGGAATTCAAATTTCCTCGAACAAATATATATATATTTTTTATCGATGTTACTCCACGTGTATTCTTACCTATAAAATCATTTCTGGTGACTTCGAGAACATCCCTTTGTTCTTAAATGAAGCTGATCTAAGGGTTTGCTGCTTCGCCGAGAGAAACAGAGACCTATGGTTATAGGTAAGGTAACATTTATATATACACATACAGTTCTAGATGTACGTACAAGTCTGTATGTACAGAGTTTGGGTTCTGAAGGGGATGAAAGACAGGGTGCAGTAATTATACTATGCCACCAAGACCAATAACAGTTGGCGAGCAGTTTTCAATAGCTACAACTTCGGAAATGGTTTAGTTCCAATTTAACCTCTGTGAGAAGTTGCGTCCATTGAGAACGAAGGGAGGTAGAAGCTCGTAATACGAAAATCCACCCCATACTCGAAATCTATGGCATGCCAATCCCACACAAATTTCAACCATCCTAAAAGTATCCCCCAAAGGCATCCAATAAAAATCAACCACTAATCGTATATTAACAACGGGAGAACCCTCGACCATTTTTCAGGCTAGATAAAAGACTTTACGTAACTCACCGTCGTCTTGTAGTCGACCTGAATTTTTTTATCCACTTTGATATAAGCCGAATACAACAAAAAAAAACGGGGGATGACTCATCTGTATTACGTGCTTACGCGACAACGATGTATCTACCCGCACGTAAGGGCTATTTTCATTTTCGTCAAGGTCGACCGACTTTTTGTCACCGAAAGATCACACACGAATACCACCCCCTTCGCGATATAGAAAATGTGACATTGGGTTACCAAGAAGAAAAAAAGGACATATAGGCAAAAGTTCAATTACCTAACGAAATTGAGTGGATACATTTTCGATTATCATAATACAAGAGTATACAAGATACATAATACAAGATTCCATGAAGCAATTCCAACCCGAAGGACAAAAAAACTTTAGAAGTGTCAAGTGTATAAAGAGAGCAGTCGAAAGTTAATTTATCACGTGGCAATCTACACGGAGCTTTTCCTCTTCAAGGAGTTAGGAGGGCTGGTAAAGCTCAGTGCTGTAAAGCTTCCGCCGAAAGACTATAAAACGACGAACGTAAGGGCTACGTCGCGCCTGAGAAAGTTCCCTACGTGAACCAACGTAGCTATGGGCTTCGGTCTTCCATTCATTAACGAGTACCCGGATGGGGGGAGGGATAGGGGGATTTCTTGTCCATAGCCCTTCATCCGTCATACCTCGAACAGCCCTCTATACATATAGCATCCCCTAACAGACTTAGCCAACCCTCCCTCACAGCGTCTACCAAAGCAGCTCGTCTAATCCTCCAATTTTTCATCGACGCTCCGCGTTATTTGCCATAACGAATAATGAGCTGTCCCGATTAATTCAAGGAGTATCATCCCCTATCCCGCAATCATCGGGGGCCAACCCGCCCGCTGCCGTTACTGTAATACCATTACAAAAAGAGCCTTCGGCTCTGCCCCGCTAACAACCGACTAATTACCGTCAGCCGTGCGACGTTACCGACACTCTTTCGATTATCGTAATTACCGTCAACGCCAATGAGACTGTTCCCGTGACCAGGGAACTATCATCCCGTGGAAACTGTCCCAGCTATTCCTGTCGTATAGGCTACGTATTAAATCTGATCACGGATAATTCTGATACCAGGTGAATATTACAGACCTACCCCCACCCTTAATTACTAATGACGTCAACGACAATCTTCAGAGGAATTCACGTGAAGCAGGTTATCAAAAAAAATTTTGACGTTTCAGGGTCTTCGCTCTCAAAGGAATGTCAATGATAAAATGGGAAATTGAAAAGACGCTGCTAGTCGAGACGCGATAACACCCCTTACTACTGAGGTCTGGAATATGACTAAAGTAGAAACGTATCTGAACACAGAGGGTTGAGAACTAGCCCTTAACGTATCTCCCAGCTCAACCAGAAAACGTGCTCGCAGATAACTCGAATCTAGCTGGACATATCATAAGTCAGATCGTACTATTTCTCAGTCTCTACAGGGTTGTGGGCATACTGGCATCCACCAATCACTATCCTTCTCTTACAGCCTTCGCTATTGCCACCACGAGACTCGACGTTAAACCACCGATCGCCGTATCTCACTCACGCCAGGAAATGTTGAAAGCTTTTACCATCCTGCACTCGCTCTGCCTTATTCGCATCCCCTATTTCAGTCGTCAATTTTCAGGCATGCACGTTCCCGGCCCGTGTATCCCTCTGTACTTTGGAATCTAATATGGTGACGGGGATGGCATTCTGTCCAATAAAGTGTCCACCCGCCACTCCCGGAAATGCACATAAACAGCAGGTTTACCACAATCCCTGATAAAGTTTACGATAATCGGATAGTCCGTACGAATGGAGAAGGGTTGCTCCGGAATATAATTTCTGC